CATTAAATACAAATTAGAATTTTTCGTAAAAATTTACCTTTTCTCGGAAGGTAGAGCGAATTAGTTTTTATTTAAGCCGATTGCGAGCTCATATCTCAAAGCGATCGGAATTTAAATATTCGAGCGTTGTGTAAGTCAGTGATTCTTAACCTTTTTAAGCCGCGACCCAAATTTGAGAAATATGTTCATGTCGCGACCCAAAAAAAAGTCAAAATTAGGCTGAGTAAGCCACAATGACTTCTTTTAGGAGGTGTTAGTATTACTTATTATTTGGTGTATAACTAACTTTTTTGGTTCGACTCAGCGCGACCCAAGAAATATGCTTCGCGACCCAATTTTGGGTCGCGACCCATAGGTTAAGAACCGCTGGTGTAAGCAACTACGAGATGTTACAGAACAACAGCGAGCAGGAGGAAGACTTCCTTTATGAAAAAAGAAAAAAAAAACTTTTCGACATAATGAACAAAACAGTCGATAAAACAGTGTCGATACGATCAGGCGCGTGCTCTAATAAAATAAAGCTAAGCAATGAGGGAAAAACAATGTGTTATATGCTAGTAATACACTCAAATCTCTATAGCGGTCATAGAGACTCCGCTGCTCGTTCGAGGTAAATCGTCTCTTTTATCCGCTCCCAAAATATTTTTTATCAAATTTTACCTCAATACTTTTGAAGATCTCAAAAAGTTTGTAAAAGTCACAAAATCAAGTAAGCTTGTAAAGTTATTTCAGTACTTAGTGCTTCTCAAAGTTGATTATTGCTGTCAAAATGTCCACTCCGATCGTACTAATGTAAAGCGACTTAAAAACTTCTTGCATAAAATATAAAACTCGTTTTTCAAAGAAAAATAATTCCTTAAGAAAATAATTTTTGGTATTTTTTCTTTTGCCATACTCATGTAAATGTAACTATTAATTTTATTTTATTTAAAAAAAAACATTAACAAACAAATATTATTTATTTATTTCTCCAGTTTTTGTTATTCTTATTTTTATTATTAATTTTCTTTCCCCCCTTTTTTTCATTAGTCTGTAATTTTCCTTTGCTTTATCTTCCTTTTAAAAATAAATTAAACAAAAAAAGAGAAAAAATATAAACTTATTCGGAAATAAAGTTTTATCTAGTAAAAATCACAAAAATTCATGAAAAATACGAAACAAAACACAAACATAAAAAGCGAGAAGGCAGAACGGATGTGTGTACTTACTAATATTTTGTAAAAATGATTTAGAAATATTTTCGTAGTTAGATTTCAAAATATAAAATTAAAGCGTAAACAGAGGGTAGTGGGATTCATTTTTAAGGCGCTTTCATGTAGAAGTAAAGAACCGCATTTGATTTGTCTGTAACCTTGGATTGGCCAGAATACTGAATTTGAGCAAGTTAATAAAATAATATATTATACTGGATAATTAACTATTTCTCTTGTTAAAATAGGTTGAATTCGAAATACCACATTTCTATTAGTTGATTTTTATCGAAATAATTAACATTTCTTGAATAGTAATGGAGGAAGTTTTTAATTAGGAATATTAGTAATAAAATGTTTAGCCACGAATTTGCTCGAATTGGATTTGCTCATGGCAAAAATATCAATTAGATAACTAAAATATTTTTATGTATATGTAATCATGTATTAATTTTAATACACAATTAATTCAATGATTTTGTTAAATATCCATTGTTTTTAATCAAATCTTGGAAAAGTATATCAATTCGTTTCCCGGATAAAAAAATATTACTAAAATTCTTTTTAATTCAGTTTATTTGATTAAAAATAGTGTTTAAATAAATGTTTCTAGAAATATCAGAATTCCAAGCAATTAGATTATTTATATTTAACTTAAAATCATTCCTTTTTAACATATTTGTCAACAGTGCAGATAATTTTTTCTTTTTTAATATTTAAATCCAAAAAATTAAAATTAATATTATCGTCATGATTAGGAAGCAATATTAATTCCTTGTGTTAAAAATTAATTAACAAAATTACTTAATTTTGATAATTTAAGATAATTAAATCACCAATAAATCTGAAAACAATTTTGATATTTAGAGTATAATTATTTTTCATATTAGTATCAAAATGAGTTCGTTAGAAGTGACGTAGAATTAGATCCTTGTGGCATTCCATTGAATAAAAAAATGTTCTCTATAATAAAGATAATTATAAAAAAGAGACATGTTAATTAGAATTTCACAGCAATAAACTTTGCAATAAAGGATATTTTCATAATCATAGTTATAACTCAAAAGAACATCTTTCAGTTTAGAAAGTAGAATGCTATTAAAGATATTTTAAAAATCAAAGATCGTAATAAATTTAATTTTGTATTGTTAAATAAAATCTAAAATAGGTTGATTATTGTTAATAATGAGGAAAAAACATTCTTGTTGTTAATAATTTTACTTAAGTAGTTAGGAAAAATATCACCAGGCTTAGTAAATAGTAGACAAACCCGCAAGTAATTGCTCTAAATTTGATAGGAATTTCATGAAATTTTGGACTGACAATTAAGCATGGAAATTGTACATTATTAAATTTTTTTTTACCTCTTATAGAAAGCGTAATTTTTTTAATCACAAGATTATTACTTAATACCAAAAATTTAATACTAAAAATTTAAACCTAATATTATTTGTTAAGCTCGATTTTATATTATTTGTTAAGCTCAAAATTTTTAAAATTTATTAATTCCTTATTTAAAACTTCAACATAGAATGTTTACAGAAATTGCATACTTGTTGCTAGCTTTGTCTATGGAGGTTATTACAAAATTGTTTTGAAGTTGCTAAATAGCAAGATTATTTTCAGAAAAACTAGTCGAATTGTTACAGTTAATTTATAAGTCACTTATTATTAAGAATGAAAATTTTAAACCAATGATTAACAGCGCATTTCCATTCTGTAAATAGTCCTTAAGGTAAAGAGAATCTACTGGAAATCTTTAGACAAAAACTATTAAGATAATTTAGAAAGCATTTTAGAATTTTATTAATAGAAATAAGGCGAATGAATCTGAATAAACATTATTTTAACATTAAGTTTCTTAGTTTTAAATGTTCTATAATATTTATATCAGCAGAAAAAATATGTTTATCATATTTATCAATGAATTCAAAATATTTCTCTTCTTCACAGTAGAATTTCTAATCGGATAAATTTCTTTTTATTAAATTTTTGCTAATGTCATTATAATTTGAAATAGCTAGCCAGAGCTTTATTATATTCAAAGATTTTAATTATGTTAATGTAAACAAATTTTTTGAATTATCGAATAAAATAGGAAATTTAAAATGATAAAAAATAGGATTTTGCAAGCCATCAATAATAAAATCTAAGTTATTTAAATTTCTTTTTTTATTTGGTGAATTTTTATTCATTTTAACTTCTATAAGATCGAAGGAAAGAATTTTAAAGTGTAAATATATGATCAATGATATATATGATTAATTATATTTAAGGAAGAAAACATAATCTTTCATTGGTTTAATATTGGTAATGTTTATAAAAAACTTTTTCCTAAAGTCGAAGAGTTAATGTAGTTAGTCTGTATATGTTGGAAAGCATAATTTAGCTCATATGGCAAAATTGTTTTGTGTATAGACAGGTAAAAGTTTTCTTCTTGTAGTCTTAAATCAAAATCATCTACGATGTTTAAAATATTTATTTTAAGACTATTAAAACCGTGTATTCTAAAACGATTGAATTCTAGGCTACATTAAATTCACAATAAATAGATTTACTGCTATCGTTATATTGAATTATATGTCTTTGATCAACAATGGGGCAAGTCTTTTGCAACTACACGTTTTACAACAAAGTAAGCATTTCAATTTCGTATGAAATTCAAAGAAACCTTTTATCATAATTATGATCTGAGTAGCAGGCAATCGAATCGAAGGGCTTTCAGTAACAGTTTTCTTGTACCGAATACAATATCTATAATTATTAACATATTTTTTACCGGGCACTAAATTGTTAAATAGGCTCAAAGAGACCCCATAATACAAATTAAAAAAAAATATATTGACAAAAATATTGAGAAAAGTAGAAGAAAAGTTAGGGAAAAATATTACTTGCTAATTCTGCATTAAAATATGATCACAAATAATAAAAGGTAACAAAGAATGAAAGAAAAGAGAAAATTTCAAATGAAAATTAAGGATTCAAGATTTGATAAATTTCATTATTTGCGCATAAGCTGTAAGTAAATGGAACTCAATTTATAAAATTAAAACGCAAAGAAAGCAAGGAAAGAAATAAAAAAGGAAGAAAAAAAAAAAAAAAAAAAAAAAAAAAAAAAAAAAAAAAAAAAAAAAAAAGGAATATAAGAATTTAAAAAAAAAAAATTAAAATCAACCAAAATTTTAAAGAAAAAAAATCTTTTTTTTTCTTTAAAATTTTGGTTGATTTTTAAATTTTTAGAATGTTTTTTATTTTTTAAAAATTCCCTCCCCCCTTGTTTTCGTTTCATTTTTATCTTCAACTGATTTTATTTAACTTGCAGCATATGCGCTCAGTTACTAAAATTTATTAAATATTAAATCTTAAAATTCTTATCTGAAATTTCGTCTCTTTTTTCATTCTTTGCAGTTTCTTTAATAGGAAAATCTTCACTTGGCACTCAGATAGTATTGCCAAATTAAGATTTTGTAGCTATTTGGTTGCCATTCTTTCAAATTCTTTTTTTTCAATTACTGCAACCACATTCGAGTTACTTCACATCAGTTCTAGTTTTATCAGAATAAATATTTTCTATCTCTTCCGACGGTCGCGGTTTTTTCTCAAGTTGTGGGCTGCGGTACCGGCGGTGAGTAAAATTTGATGTAAAAGTTGTTATTTTTGTAAAATTTTAAACATTTAATTAAAAAACTGACTTTAAAGACTATTTTCTTTAATTTTTAGTAAAAATTCTTTAACAAATGTTTTAAATTCATCATAATACAAGTGTTTTTCCCGTTGATGCTCGTTCTGTGTTATCATACGATTTCATGTTTTCTTATTTTCACTTGATTTATGCTTATATGTAAAGCTTTCAATAGTTGTAAAGGTTATTGTCCGGAATTTTTGTAGTTTTTCCTATTTACATACTGTATTTTACCTTCCTTTAATCCTTTGAAACTACCAATTTATAAAAGCTTCAATTAAGTAAGTTTTAAATCTTCGATATTGCTGTGTAATGTTCTATTTCATTCATCGTTCTTGTTTATAGACGAAAGAGTTTTCAAAGATTAATAACATTCTCTCTGGCTTTGATATGCTTCTTATTTATATGATGTATATATTAGACATGTTACTAGAATTCGGTGTAAGAATGTTACATTCATCTACTCAAATATATTTGCATTTTGCCAATAAATACGCTGAAAGATGTTATAGAAATTTTTATATTTTCATTTCAAATGTTCCTATAATATTTATAGTAAGTTTTGTTTATTTTTTCCAAGTAAGTTTGTAATATTTGGGCCGAATTTTGAATTTTATGTGTATTCAGAGAAGTTACTTGTTTTTCAAACTCAAAACCTGATATTTGTTAAATTCGCTTGGCCCGTTTTTAATGAGTAATTGATTTAAGTTTTCTTTAGAATTCTGAACTGATCTGGGTTGCTTGTTCTTCATTCTTGTCTTGTTGAATTCATGCTACTAAGACTTGATTAAATCGAAACAATAGTTTTACATGTTTTAAACAATGTGTATTGGTTCATTATAATAGGACTAGGCCTGCTTTTTTTTATAAAATTTTTGTTGGAGGTGTTAGTTCTACTGATGAAAATTTGTGTAAGTGGTTTGCTAACAAGCCCAAATTTCTCTAAAAAGGATTCCTGCCAAGATATATATATATTTTCAATTGTTTGATATTAAACACTTGAAGTGTGTATGAATATTTTAACCCTCTTTTTGAAACCAGTCAAGATCTGTCAAATTTTCAAGTATTTATTTGCCAAGTTGGTGTTAGTTTGCAAAGTGAAATGTGAACAGGCCATTATTCATGAAAATTTTACTAATAAGATTAGTGTTTAAATTTTGACATGTTACTATATTAAATATTTTCAAGTGTTTTAAATTTTATCATGTTGCAAAAGCTGTGACTGATTTACTAATTGTGTTATTTCTTCATTGAAATTTATTTGTCATTTTAGCAATGATTTTCAAAATTTATTTGTATATGAAGGTTAAAAATTTCAGTCATTAATTCAAAGGATTGATAACTCAAGGATGTTTCTAAAGTTAGTTCTCATTTCCACAGTCTTGTTAAGTCTTAGATTTATTAAATTTTAAATCTTAGATTTTTTTATTGAGTTACTAAAGTGATTTTAAATGAATAATTAAATTCAGTTAGTGTGGCATGATAGTTTTGGTGAAATGTTCCATTTTGAAAAAAAAAAAGATAAAATAAAATGTTCTGGATAGCATATTTTCCTTTTACTTTGATTGCTAATGCAGGTGCAGATGACCACTATTTATTTTGTGATTACATAGCTGGAAATGACAAGCTAAATTTTAGTGGTCCTAGGCCAACATTAATTTAAAAGCAAAGTATTTGTAAGTTTATAATCCATAATTTTATTTCCCAATAATATTCTGTCTAGTTTTATTGCTGGTGCATATCAGCTAGAGTCAATCCAGGCTAAAATTGGGGAGGTTTTGTGACCTCTTTATAAAAGTCTAATTTGTAAAATCAGTCCCTTTACAAACTTCAAAGTTGTGAAAGCAACTCATTCACTAAGATTCGCATTATGACGATAATCATGCAAAAATGTTCCATAGGTCTCTGAAAAAACTTTGGTAAGAGGATATAATTTTATGACAGCATTACCATGAATCAAATTCTATGTTTGTGAATCATATAAGTGTATTAAGAATAACTTTGTTTAACCAAGTTTGAGTTTTAAAAACATATTAGCAAAGAATTCGAAAACCGTTATATGGTTGCAAAATGTTTTGATTTCAATAAAATCAGTTATTATTTCTCATACTTTCTTTTCCACCAACACATTTAAATGCGTAAGGCTAAGAAAAAGAGCCTCAGCATTTAATTTAATAAATTAGTAGCCAATACATGGCAGTGTTTTCATCATAGAAAAAAAATGAGTGAGAATTTCTCACCCTTTCTCAAAAACAGGGTGAGATTTCAAAAAGTTAAGTGAGATTTCTAAAAACTAAAAAAAACACACTCTTGAAAAAAAAATCATTTCTTTAATTCTAATAAATTTTTAACGTCTTCTATTTTTTAAAGCATTGAATATTTTTGGTGCATCATCATAAAAGATTTCGACTTTACTAGGTATTTGTCCATCTTACATAAGTGCATAAAAAATTTGAACGTCTTACATGAAGAAACCTTACCTACCGTAAACACGTGGTTGCAGAGAAATATGTTCTGAAAGGGGTTCCGTGGTTGTGTTCTGTTGTTCGAAAAGGTTCTGAACAATACTGGTAAATAGGGAAGCTAGATAACTTGGGGCAGATGTTGAAGATATGAAAGATTCAGGAAGGGAAGTGAAACGGATTTTATTCTAAATGGCGTAATTCGAAGCTTTTTTCAAAAGGCGAGAAATTCGCGAATTTCGAAATTAATTTATAGAATGCGCGAATTTCTCTCGGTAATCATTTCTTAATGCGAGAAAAGAAAAAAATATGCGAAATTCTCGCGCTGTAGTGAAAACACTGCATGGTTTCTTTAACTCTCCTTGCCGAGAACTATGCTACCGGACACTTTACCCTCGTATTTTTGATTTCTTGGTGGATGGAGGTGTCCTATTGGGCTTAGTCCTGCAACTGCACCCAAAGGGCAATTTTCTAAATTAAATAAGATATTGGTTTTTTAATGTAGGAAATGTGTTATGCATATTTTAGCATGACAGTGTCTTAATTACAAGTTGTAGTTATGTATTCTATTTATACTGTTTTATCAAAGGCAATGAAATGTTAAGCAAATACTTTGTAAAAATGACATTTTGTTGTATTGGAATAGTTATAAATAATGAGCTTCAATATGTGTAAAAGTAGAATAAAATCTTGTTCAGTGTAAAGATAAAATTATGTTGCACTAATTTTCATCTTGTTCATTGTTAAGATAAAAATTATGTTATAATATTTTTTCGGTCTGATGTTTCAGGAAACAATGGCAAAACGAACTGCAGAAACTGAATTAAATCACGATAATTGGGATAATGATGAAAATTCTGAAGAAGCAGGGACCTTCAAGAGAGTTTCTGACAATGAATTAAAGAAGCGAATTATAAGAAAAGCTAAAAGGAGTTATGGAGTATGTAAAAATGAAAATTGTTTGAAACGTAAATTCTCTTGTATATAAAGTTATATTTTAATTCATCTATGCAATGTTATTGTAATTTTTAATACTGTGTGTTTTCAATTATTAATCTTCTTATATAATATATTATTTTCCTTGTTCGGTTTTGATTGCTTAGCAATTAAAACTTGTTTGTTTTCTCTTTGGATGCTTTACCTATTTTAGTTTAATTTTGTAAGTGTGATAGTTATTACTTCAAAATAAAGTTCTGTACACCGTAGGAATTCTCTAATTTATATCAGTTATCTTCGATTCATGCATATACATTACGATTATTTTTATACATTTCAGTTCTACTTGGAAATTACATTAGATACTAATTATTCCTAGAATTTTTCTTCATGCACAATTATAAATTTTAGTGCTAGGAGACATAAACTTGTAAAATGTATCACAAGGAGAAAAAGTTAGGAAAAGAATTATAGTAACCAAGTAAATATGGAGGTCTAAGTCAGAGTAAAAGCAAAAATTTAGGTTCAGTGAAACTCCATTGAAAAAAAACAATTCTCTCTCCTGTGTTAATTATTAGTCATTAAAATTATAATATTGCTCGAAATTATTATATTACCTGGATGAATTAATGAGTATAACTAATAAAAAAAAATATATATATAATGCAGTTTGTTTACATGCTATATGGTTTTTACCAAAAACAAGGTAATACAAAGCCTGAAAAAAAAAACATCAAATTATTTTGAATAGATTTTATTTTTTTAAAAATATTCTACTCGTGGCCTTTTCTACATAATATCCTTTTATCTTGATATGTTTATCCAGTTTCATTCCAGCTTTTATAAGTTTCTTAGTATTTTTAATGGTAATAAAACATTGATTTTGTGCAATGGCCCTCTAATAATAAATCATATTTCTTTAAGCCACTTTTTTCAAGTTTGGAATTAAAAAACATCAACAAGAACAAGTTAAATGAATATTGAAATAATATGGATTTTGTAGTTTTTACAGTTAAAATTTTGTTGACATGCATTCTAGTGAATTTTCCAGTGACTGCAAATACAGTACCCATTTTCCTGAGATTTTTTTGCACTCAATTTTAAGGCAAAATTTATTACACTGTGCTTGACACGAACTATTTTGTGGTTTTGAATTGCTGTCCACTCCATTCAGAAAGAGTCTCTTACATGGATCTTTATGAATGAATTTTTTTGTGGCCACACATCCACAAATGTTCATCATTTTTGGATGAGATATTCAAGTGGACTATTGCATATATTTGGTTTTGAAAGTTTTTATCTAAAAAATTTTGTTGTATTTAGAAATGCATTTCCTTTATTATTATTTTTTTAAAACTTTTTTTTTTCAATTCTAGGGCACAGCATCAACGAGTAATAGTCCATTTCAGGGATCAAGTCCTTTTGCTGCTTTTTCTGGATTTGGTGCTACATCTACTCCATTTAGTTTTGCTAAGACAGATGACAATATTTTTAGCGAAGAAAGTCGTGTAAAGAAATTCATAAAAGAAAATATTACTAAAATTGAAAATGGCAAATCTGAAATAAAAACTGAAGGAAGCACCACAGAAACTCAATCCCCCGATACCACATCTACTGCCACATCTTCTAATACCACATCATCTAATACTACTACTTCTATTACCAGCAAACCCTCACGGAGTGTAGAATATTATCGTCAGTTGCAGAGCTTAAATGAAAGTGTTTTAAAGTGGATGCAATTACATTTGGCAAAAAATGCCTACAGTGATTTTACACCTGTTTTTAATGACTATAAAAAACATATGGATACTCTTAACGTTACATATCCTGTAAAAAAGAATGAAGCAGTAGTTAATGCAGATAAAGGCAGTAGTTTTTTCAAAACTCCTTCTTCTGTGCAGAAAAAAGATGCAGTAGATTCTAATGGTAAGATTCAAAAGATATGTTTTTATCGACAGATAATGTATTTTTTCTTAAAACAATCTATCATTATTGTTGAAGCAGCATTTTATGTTTTAATATTTCAAAGCTGAATTTAATACTGAGAACTCTCGATAATCTGCGGAATCGAGTGCCCCATTAGTGCAGATAAGTGAATACTCGGATAATCCATAAACGCTTAATAAAGACGCACATCATAAATTTTTTCAATATAAATGATAAATCTTAATATCTTTTATCTATTATCAGCAGTTTTCTTCACATTTTTTTTAATTATTTCTGTATGAAAAGCCTATCAACTTTTGTTTCTTGGTGTTGAAAAGGCAAGATGTTATTATAATAAAACAGGCGCAAGCAGACTTTAAACTCTAGAGTTCATACACTATTGAAAAAATGTGCAAAACATTGTTCAAAACCTGTGAATTAGTTCTAGTAAATAATTGGCACTGTTACTTGGATAAATGCATATACTATGATAAACAACTATTTTTAAGGTCCTTAATTTTTGCACCAATAAAAGAGTTAGAACCCTGTATATATACTTATACCTATGTATTTTAGGGAAATCTGGATTGGCCTTAAATAGTGCTCAGAAGGATGAGACTGATTACGGAGCAAATTTTTCAGCTAGGACTACAAATACGTCAAGTGTTAGCTTTGGTATGAAATTAACTCCTACAGCAACATCTTCAAACACATCAAGGCCTGCATCTAGCTCAAAAGAAGAAGAGAAAGCACAGGAGCAAAAACCTTTTCAGTTCTCATTTACAGCTGCTCCTAAAACGGAGGATTCAAGTGCTTCAAAAGGTTTTAGCTTTGCTGCATCAGTTGCTGCTGCTGCAAAAAATTCTGAAACAGGTGATATTATTTTTACTCCTTCTGTTTTTATTTTAACAACTTTAAGACTCTGTTTTCAATTTAAAGTTATTTTTTAGAAATCACTGTAAAACCCTGATTAGGCAAAACTCAGTTGCTGTCTACTTCCAATAATCTAGGTCTTCAAGCGGCAGACGTAGAAGTATACTTTTATATATAAGGAAAAAAAATTAGTTAAGTACTGTATAATATTTACTTTTAGCTAGAGTGAATATCAAGATTAGGTTTCAAAGTAAACTACAGGGTATCCGCGCACCTGGAAAGTCATGAATTGCAGTATTGAACAAAATTTGTCATGAAATGTCATGATTTTAACTATCTTTTTAAAAAAATCATGAAAAGTTATGGATTTAGGTCGCCAAAAAATCTAATTTTTAAAATGGAATTTACCACCTCCCCGGAATTTCATAGTGTTCCGAATGTCTGAATTTGTAACAAAATCCCCACTCACAGTCATATTTGATTAAAATATAAAATGTTTTTATCTGTGTTCTTTAAAAATTATGTTGTTCTTTCAAAAAATGAAAGAGAAAAACTTTTCTAGAGGGAATTATATTTTAAACTTCTGATTGCAGAATTTTTGTTTATTTTTTTTTATTTTATCAATTTAAAATTCGAGCTAAAGCAAGCCAGTCATTGGCGAATTTTTTTAATTCCGAAATGAGAACAGAAAATCAGGAGAATTTCTTTCCTTTCCGATGAACAAGAAAAGTATCTGCAGAAGAAAAGAAAAAAAAAATTATTTGCTTTTGTATTTTTTTCAGTCATTTTATTGCTTTAACTCTTTCTTTACTCTGTTTTTTAATTTTAAAATCTATAAATATGAAGATGCAGAGTATAACAGTTTTGGTTATACCTATCATTTCAATGAATGTTTAATACTTTTTTTAATATATTGTTGTGTTTTTGTCANCATTTTATTGCTTCAACTCTTTCTTTACTCTGTTTTTTAATTTTAAAATCTATGAAGATGTAGAGTATAACAGTTTTGGTTATACCTATCATTTCAATGAATGTTATAATACTTTTTTTAATTTATTGTTGTGTTTTTGTCAGAGTAACTTTGTTAAGTCATGAAAAATTCTTGCAATTAATCATGGAAAGTCATAAATTTGAAAATCTAAAATGAAGCAGATACCCTGAAACTACTTTATTAAATAAGTAGAAATAATAGAAAGAAGAGTTATAACTATCTTATTTCTTTATTAGAACCAAAATAGTGTCTTCATCATCCTTCATCTGCTGCTAACATAAAATGAAACAAATCTATTGTAAGTAATAGTGTATTTCTGTGCAAGTCAAACGACTCAAAGAATTTTTCCTATTTAAGTTTCTGTGCACAGTTTATTATAGTGGGCAAAAATGCCCCCTGGATTATGTTTAAAATATCATAATTGCATTTTTGGTTTTGAATATGTATTTTATATTTAACATCTGATTACCGTTTTACTAATTAATTATTGTGTAACACAGTATTCATGTTTGTTAGTCGGTATAATACTTCATATGTTAATACTAATTTATCTTGTATCGCAACACTTTTTCTAACCAATATAGCTTGTTATCACTAACTACTACATATTACTTATTTCTTGGTTATCACTCAAATATTTAACTCCCCCGTTTTGAATAACATAATTTATTTTTGTACTATAATTTTAAATTTTTGAAAAAATTCTGTGATTTTGTTTTTAAAGGAAACAGCACATGCCTGCTATTAATAGCTATGTAACTATGTCAAATATTTTCACTGTGCACTTTAACTATTATTTTTACGTAATACTTTGAAGTAATTTAAGTTAAACATGTTTTTTTTTTTAGTTCTAAATAAATATTCTCAAAATTTTTATAGCATTTTTAAAAAAAAATTCAGTTGTGGTTAAATAATGTAATGAACAGTTAGTTGTTTTTATTTTATTATTGATTATAAATATTGTTGTTTAACACTTATAACACAAAAAATTAAGCTAGATCAAGTTTATCTTATATTTTTAAGGTTATTAAGATGTTGCAATATGTTTACATTGTTTTTAATGTAGTCACTATATATAGCTTTTTAAAAATTTTTAGTCTCTTTTTTCACTACTTTTCCTGCAATAATCTGTAGTGAGCCCTGATTATTAGAATTACAACATGGTACATGCATAATCTATTTTTAAACGAAAATTGCTATTGGTTACAAATGGTAATGTTGAGCGTATTTTCTTAAAATTAAAATGGTTCTCATTTTATTGCTACAATATTGCTTCAAAATTGTATGTAATTTATGGTATATATATATAAATGTAAAAACTTTAAATTTGTTAAAGTAGGTTATTTTTCTCACATCCAAGAAAATCGTGAAATTAGAGAAGTAGTTCCCTTACAAAGCGGCGTGCTATTTGGCGCAATACAGCTGTCTACTTGGCGCAGGAATAATGACAAATAGTGCCTATCAGACAAGCAAAAACTCTTATTTTTAGAGGGTTGTTTGTATCGCCGTGGTGTCTTTTTGCAGGTGTTTCATGAGTAATATGGAAAATAAAGCGATGGATTTAAGTCCTCCTAAAAAACGACAAAAGAAATCTTACATAAGTAAAGCTGAGAAAGAAATAATATTGAACATATATATAAAACAGAAGTGCATTCAAAACCAGTTGTTCCAATCATTGATGTGGCTGACCATGCGGCTTCTGCAGCGGGAGTTAGCACAGCTTCTGTTTTCAGAATTATCAAAGAATATAAAAAGGATGGTATATTACATTCCCCGAAGAGGACTAAACCTCGTANTCCAATAAGTCAATAGTGAGCTGTGTTTTTCTTCAAAAATATGGGTTTTTGTTTATCCTAAGGTCACCTATTGATTAATTGTTAGGCATGCATTGTAATATAAACTGAATAGTGATACTATAGCAAATAATATTGATTTTAAAGTATTAAGAGTACCATATTTTAAGATAAAACAATTATTTCAATAATTTTGGCTATATTTTTTATAACTGATATATATTGTAAATCATGATTATACAAGTATATAATAAAAGTATTGTGTATGATTTAGTATCTAATAAAATTTACCCATTGACAAAAAAGAAACTTGCCACAGGTTTTTGACAGTTTATGATGCTTTACATGTTTTTGACCTCAAAAATCAAACCCTGTTGCCTTTTTTAATATTTCCCAAATTAGAAAGTTACTTTTACATCTTATGTTACCTTTACATTCTTATTCATTACCCATTAATTATGATAATGTTTTATAATACAACGGGAAATAAATATATCTTAACTAAAATATTTATTAAAAGAAAATTAGTTTGAAATTTACTGTTTTCCTCTTAAATAACGTTTCTCTTTTATATAACCATAGCTTGACACTTCTCCTTAGGCCTTTATAAATGTGCTCTTCAAATTACTTTCACTGACTAGTGTAGTTATTGTTAATGCTATTATCTTTAATTACTGTGAATTAAATTTTTATTAGTCCCTTTATTATCCTAGTAATATAATTTTAAGGACCTTTTTGTTTTAAATTAGTTGCTTAATAATGCAGTTGAAGTTTAATTAGGCCTTAGTTTTGCTGAAATTGAAACATTAGTTTATTTTGTTTTAGCTGATGCAACAGAAGAAAAAGATTATGAACCTCCTAAGAATGAGTTTGTGAAAGTATCTGAAGAAGATGCTCTATATTCAAAAAGGTATATCGACTAAGATTGCATTGCTTTCTTAATGACTGTATTTTATCATTATTCATTTAAATGAGAAAATTTATGAATCAGAATTTTATTCATGAATTGATCCTTTTAGTTTAGTGGTTTCATTGCTATATTAACTTTTGCTCATTGTAAGTCAAAATTTTCAGTCTTGAATTAGATGGATACTTATTATTTTGAAACTAAGATTTTTTCTTTTCTAATTGTTACAATTGCTATAAATATTTTGGGTTCTTCTTTATTTATTAATAAGCATGTTATAGTTGAATAATAAAAAGTTTACTTGCATAAGGAAGAGTTGAGCCAGTCCCACTTTTACTTGAAGAAACTGTTGATGTCAGAATAATCTAAGGCCTGATCAGGTGCTAGCTATTAAAATAAACTCTTTTATTTCACTTTCTATTTTTTTCAGTATTTGCTCGAAATAGCCACCAATACAATGAAGTGAAATGGGGGTATTTTTTAGTAAACTTGCTTTGTTCTGAAATTTATTTCTCTGTGCCATTTTTACTTGCAACTTTCTTTTTTCTTGTTTGGAAACTGAACATTTAATCTGATGCAATGTATTTAAAATATAAGGTTTCAGTATTACAAAATCATTCCGCAGAAAGGTAAAAAGAACTGATAAGCTATTGCTAAATTTTTCACATATTGCTATGGAATAAAAAATAAAATATGTAAATTATATGCTCTTGAGTTATTTGCAAATAACAGAATTTCTATTTTAAATTGGTAATAATTTTTAATTCCTTCAATCAATTTTAAAGTCCCTTAATTTAAGGTTTTTTAAAACAATTTATCTGTGAAAGTAACTAGTTAAATTGACTTCTCATCTATTGGTAAGGGAATTATGTAATAAAAAATTATAAGGATTTTTTTTTTCTACCAAAAGTGTTTTTTAATAACGTAATTCCAACTTTTGTATTTTAGGAAAGTTGTTTGTAATTTCTTTATCTTCTGTAAATCTCTTATTGTTCCTGAATGAAGATAGTTGTTTTTAAACTATAAAATAAATAGTTTATAATGATAGATATGTTTATGAGAATGAAGTGTTTGCGTTTTTAAACTTATTAATAAAGTAAAACAAGTTTCTTAAAGATAATGCTTGCTAACAAAACGCAGTATTGCTATTTTGTTTAACTAAAATTTCAGCTTTTAGTACCTACCACAGGTATTATATACTCTCGTTTAAGTTATGAGTTTCAGTTCTGTTGCTGTTATTTTATATCCATTTCTTTTACTTATAATGAAGTTGGTATCATTTCCTTAATACTAAATGTACATTTGTTTTTACCAATTATAAGATAAACATGAAAATATACCAAGCAAAAGCTCTGATTTTTAAAAAAATAAAGAATGGGATAAAAACACATTGTTTCTTTCTTTTTTTTTTTTTTTAAAAAATAACTATTAATTTATATCATAATTTATAAACAGAATTGTGAGTAACATGGTTTTACCACAATTTAAATTGTTAGTTGCATTTGATTCACTATCTTTTCTGAACCATTAGTGTTGAATTATTGTTTTAAGATTTTGAAATATAATCTTATTTGGGTTAATGAGCATTGGAAAGTAGATGAAAGAGTTTTTTTGTTCAAAGTAATTGCAAACTTTTTTGACTATTTCTGTTAAAAGAATGACATTGAATGTTTGAAAAACATATTGATACCGAAGCACTTAATTTACGCTACCAATTATGTTGTTTTATTTTGAAGCATTGGCTAGCTAAATTAGAATAAAACATTTAAAAGCACGCCAAAGGCTTGAAGCATTGATTTATTTTTACAATCTAAAAGTACCAATATAATAAATATATTACATTGCACCCATGTTCATAAATTACTAATTAAAAAGAGGGATACTGTTTTACTGGTATGCCCCGTGGCAGAAACACGGCGACACAGCGACATTGTCGCAGAAAGCGACTGAGTTCTTACAGAAAGATTTTTTTTATTTAGGAAATAAAAATTTTTGGTTTGCCACAAACAAAAGTTCTCAAAAAAATTCTGCAGAAACAGNATTTTATTATTTTGATTACTCAACTTCAATATTAATTTTTTCACCTGATTTGTTTCTGTACCTGATATAACTACTATAATGAAACATTAAATCATACTGTTTTAAACTGCTTTAATAATTTAATTTTGATACTGTTTTAAACTGATACTTCAAATTCAGTTATCTTGTTTCATAACTTTATTCTTTTTGTTCATTCTTAGCTATTTCTATAAGTTCTATCTTATTACTATTACAGGTTCTGGGTAATCTTTATTTATGCTCTAGTAAGCATTTTTGTCTGCAGTCTTTGTCTTTATAACTTTTCGTTATTATCGAAGATTATGCAAATTTATACTTAAACAATTTAAACTTATTAAGAAATGAAAACTTATATTATGAAATTAAGAAAAAAAATCTACACAGTTTTATTCTATGCATGTAGACTTATTGTATAAACACGAATTTCATCTATTATTATAAATTCATTACACATACATTTATAACGATAAAAATATCTTGCAGAAAGATATCGGTTCTAGTTAGGTTTGTCGCAGAAAGTCAGAAAAAATTCTGCCACAGGGCTGGTATGCAAATATTTTGCTTCTTCTACAGTTATATATTTTGTAAGTAGATATGACATAACATGGTTGCTATTATGAATTTGTTCAGCTTTTTTTCTTAATAGGTAAAATTATTTTTCCAATGGTATTTTGGTAGTTCTTAAAACTTAATGAGAACAATATTTGATTATCACTATATTAATAAAAGAATTATTTGTTCAGAACAATAAGTAAATATTTATATTTCATTTCAGTGTTTTATTTTCCGAAATTTTTTCTTTGATTTAACTTTTGATTTTTTAAAGAGATATTCAAGTCATATGTTCCGAAAAGTCAAAAGTTAATCAATCGAAGTTTTTTTGTTGTTGTTTCTTCTAATTATTCTTTCATATTTTCTATTTATGGTTATGGTTTGATTTGTTTAGGTAATGTTCTCTGATATCATTCTAGAACCTCTAACTCAAAACTTTTAATAATAATAAAACATTCCTTATTTTATTAAAAAAATATGCATCACAAAAAAGTTTCTGTTTTATTATAAACTTAAATTTATGTCAAGGTGTTGGTATTAATTGTAAAGTTTGAAAATCTGTGTTACTGATTCTCAGTTCACAAAATATTTTAAGAAGAGAAGAAAGCATTCTACTTTTAGTAGGATATTTGTATACCTTCAAACCTTTATACATTTTTGCTTTAGAATCTGTTTTTTTTTTTCAAATCAAGTCTATAATTTTTTGGCATTTCGTTCAAAGAATGAAGATGCTGACAGTAACTTATTAAGAATATGATGTTCTGACTTAGGGTTGCACAACCTGACCTCTTAACTGTTGATGTGTGGTTCATTCCCCTCCCCCTAATTTCATAATGTTCTGAATATCTGAATTTGTAAAAGAATCCCCACTCACAGTCATGTTTTATTAAAATATAAAATGTTTTTATCATGTTCTTTAAAAATTATGGTGTTCTTTCAAAAAATGAAAGAAAAAACATCTTTTTTAGAGTGAATTATCTTTTAAACTTCTGTGATTTCAGGATTTTTATTATTATTTTTTAATTTGTCCATTTGAAATTCTAGCTGAAGCAAGCCAGTGATTGGTGAATCTTTTTAAATTCCAAAATTAGAATGGAAAAATCAGGAGTATTTCTTTCCTTTCCAATGAACAATCAAAATATCTTTAGATTATAATTCTGCAAAAAAAATTTTTTTTTTTTTTGCTTTTGTATTTTTTTCAGCTATTTTATTGTTTCAACTATTTTTTTCTGTTTTTTAAATTTAAAATCTATAAATATGAAGATGCAGAGTATAACTGCTTTGGTTATACCTATAATTTCAATTAATATTATAATGCTTTTTAAATTTATTGTTCTGTTTTTGTCAGGGGAAAATAGTAACTTCGTTAAGCCATGAAAAGTCATGAATTTGAAAATCTAAAATGTAGCAGATACCTTGTATATATTTGCATACACTATACATTCCATTTATATTTGTCTAATAATTTGAAATATTGTAGAATTGATTTCAAAAATTTATCATGTTCGTTCTTTTTTAATTTATTATCAATTTTCAATTTATATACTTTATTTTTAAGAAAATTTTTAAAAAAAAATTTAATAGGTTAAATCTTTTTCAGATGTAAGTTGTTTTTCAAGAAGGGTGAGGGATATGCGGATAAAGGAGTTGGTACACTTTATTTAAAATCTTTAGAAGGAAAGACCCAGTTGCTTGTACGTGCTGACACCAGTTTAGGTAATAAAATTTTCTTATTATTCTTTGTAGAAATATGTAAATATAAAATTTTTTCAAGAATATATAGAATATATTCTTGAATAGAATATTTCTTTTATAGAAATAATTGAGATAATTTCTTTTATTGTTAAATTAATTTAGAGTCTTCATCCATGAAATTCTCTTTACATGTACTCTCTTTCCTGTTTCCACCAATGAATATATTTGACTATTTGTTTAGTTAATACTTTTCATGATAAAATTTATAATTTGATCCTTAACAGACAAGCTACTTCACTAGAGGTTAAATATTTATTTGCATCTAAATGTATGTTTAAGAATGTTAAATAATAATAATGATACTGTTTTGTTATTTCAAAGATCGATATTTAACATTCATTTCAATATAATGCCTTGAGATGTGCTTTTATCTATAACTTATTATAGTTCAATTTATTTCCTTAAATGAATGGATTATTTTTTTAAAATTTTACAAAGTTTATGTTTATTAACTCCCTAAGTGTTGAGCCTCTGAGTAAAAATGTACTGAAATTTTCCTTCATTGCTTTACTTTCTCATTTAATAGCATTCACTGGGAAAACTAGTCTTTTGATGCAGAAAGACTTGTTGTTTAAAACATGGGTGCAAGTCTTCCGTCCGCAGGACGGATTTCCGTATTTCGAAAATGTCCGCAGACGGAAGTAAGACGGAGACAAGACTGACTCGAGGACGGAAATCGGAATTTTTTTTTTCTGTCCTTAAAAATATTTTTTAGGTCTACGTTATTGGTCTACTTTCTTATGTCCTGTTGTTATTTTATCAAAAGGCAGATGAATAAATATTTTTTGTACAGTACTTAAACTTGATGTATTATGGTAAAGCTTTCTTAGATAGTTTGCATATGTCAAGGGGGTATTGTGTATGTTAGGTATTTCAGTCAAAACATTTTCAGTCTTGGCCTTTTTTCCAACTTGCACCCATGGTTTAAAATTCAGATAATGCTAAGCCTAACACTCGGAGGGTTCAATCGAATTGATGTATATAAATAAGGAAAAATTCCTTTCTGTGTTACTGAGATTCTTTTTAAGCAGATAGGGGTCTGGTTTCAGAGAAACCTGGTGTTATTGTCATATTGATATTGGGAAGAAAAAAATTCAAGGATTATGCAATTTTTGGCCAAACTCTAGAAAAAATCTTAGAACAAACTTGGAAAATAATGAATTTCAGCTTATGTGGTTCAATGTAAATATGTGTAACATCTATCACTTCCTTCTTCCATAGTTCAACACTGAAACCTTTCCCAAAGAAGATATTAGCATTGCACTCAATATTATTCTATATAGACTGGGGCTACTAAGCTCATAAAGATTTTGGGTCTAATTTAGGAGTAGGATCTCTAACCATGATGCTTTTACAAAAGATTATATAACTGCACATATTCTGATCATAACACTGTATTGGTCCCAATATTTTTTATACGCTATTGCGACAATCCAGCATTTAAATGCATCACTTTCTGACGCGCTTTAATTTATACCAAGCTCATCGTAAATATAAAAGAATTTCGATAGTTTTTTTTGGGAGTTATTACTAAGCTTTTGCCTGTGATTAAAAAAGAAATTCTGATCTCTTTATTACTGTTGGCGCTATGAGCGATTTCAATTGAAATACTATGATTACTTCGAAATCATTTAATGAACTTTTTTCTTTATTGTTAATTTGTTATTTTTGTTTACAATAAAAACTTATTGCTTATGAGCTATTTCCTTCAGTTATTAATTATCACCTATGGAAAATTAGTTTTTAAGGTAGTTGGTACCCTCCAAATACTGTAGTTTGACTGCATGCGATTTTTGAATCGTGCATTAAAATACTTACTTTTTACATACTCTATTTGTGCCGATTTTAATATAAATATAAGAGGTTTTTCTAACGTGTTTTTTTTCCCTTTCCCGTTATTGCTCCATTTTTACTTGTGATTTAGAATATCCTGATATTTTAACAACTCGCGAAATTCGATTCTGTTTTCTTTTCTTCTTCATAATTTAACACTTTCGGGACGAGTTTTTTTTTTTTTACAACAGAAAAATTTTGGTAGCATAAACTATGAGTAGGGCAGCATTATGTACGGTAGTGCCATCTATATTCTGTGAATAAAAATACCTTCAAAAATATTGGCAGGACTGGTGGGAAAGTATCCCATTAGACAGAGAAGCGTTTCTGTCCCAAAAGAATTTTTTGAAATTTCTGGACATGTGTGTCCCATTAGGTGCGAAAGGGTTAAAAAGTAATTACATATCTTAGCAAAATCAACACCTTCCCAAAAAGAATATACAAAAACCAAACAAATTTGTAAATATGAATTTATATTAAACGTCCCTTTTGAAAAGAAAATAATTCAAAACACGTGCATATTTCTTTAGTCCCATGAACTCGTGCAAGTTTAACAATGCAGCCCAATTTTTTTTGTGGTCATGATTTAAAAATCACATATCGCGATTCATATTTACACTTTTTAAAAATGATACGTTTTGATTCTTCTCGCAATTTAAAAGTCACACATCGTAATTCATATTTATGTGATCTTAAAATTGTGCATCGTATTAACATTGCCGAGATTTAAAAATCATCCATCACAATTCATATTCCCACCATTTCAAAACCACATATCGCGATTCATGTTCTAGCGTTTAAAAAATCATACATATGTACTCTTCTCACTATTAAAGTATCGTACACTGCAATTCATCTTCACTCGATTTACAACCACATATCTTTTTTAATATTCACGAGTTTTAAAAATCATACATTGTGAGTCTTCTCCTAATTTAAAAACCATACATCTCAATTCATTTTCATGCGATTTGAAAACCACGCATTGTGCTTTTAATTTACGCAAATTAAAAATCACACAGAGCAATTTGTATTTAAGCAATTTAAAAATAGCACATCACTATTTGTATTCACACGATTTAAAAATCAGGAAAGGAAGAACACCATCTGGGACAGATTCTAAAACTGATTAGGTTATTGCCCTAATTTTAATACTGCCCACAACAACAGCTTCTTTCGAAGAACTGTTTTCCAGAATGAATTTTGCCTGTTCAAAATAGCAGAGCTGTCTTTAAACCAAATCATTAAGTTTTAATTTAATGACTTGAAAAAGCTATCACACGATCAAGTAATAAAATTATAACAATATTTAAAAATTTTGCAAATTACTGGCTAACAATTAAGAAATTTTTTAAACCATTTTCTACCTACTTAGACCATTTTATATCATTTATCATTATATGCCAAGGAAATTATTTGTATATTATTGAATTTTAACTGTACAAAAGTGTAATCAAGATAAGTTTCATAAAGTGATGTAAATTTTAATTATTTGTTGAGATATGTGTATTAATTGTAAATAGTAAGTGTCATGTTAAAAAAGTATTTGTCTTGAAAAGTTGTAAGCAAGTACCTTAATAGTTTTTTATTATTAAGGAAAATAGTTCCTTCAAAATAAATGTTTTCTTTCTTTCTTTTTCATCCTTCTCTCAGCCCCTGCCTCTTATAATTAATTTAAAATAAATGTTTTAAAGTTTAAAGTATATTTCCTACTAAATGTTAAATCTTATTTTTTGCTGAAGGGTAACTAGATAACTAGACCAAATAACTAGAATATTTATTTTTATAAAACTTTAATTCTATGCACACATTTTTTAATGTTAAAATTTATGTTTAAATAGGCTTTTGCATTATGTAATATGATAAAAAAACATGAATTTTCCCATGGTTTTTAATTATTTTAATTTATCTGCATTTTATTTTGGATAATTTGATTCTGATTCTGTTTTTTTTTCCCTAAGTTATCAGTTTAGCAGTTTCTAATTTTAAACATTTAAAAGTATTTAATTTTATGCAAAGATATTACAAGGTTAACTGACAAAATGAATTTAGTGCCTAGAACAATACTGTTTATACAACAATTACTTCCTACAGTTGCTGTCAATATGTATATCTAAATACTTTGGCATGTTGCCCTTCATTGGTCAATCTGCTGTGCATGTGACCTTTCACTCAAAAAGGTAATGCATCCCTAATGTACATACTACAGGTTATTTTTGAATTCTTGAAATAAGCTTCGATTATTAAAATAAAGGACTTATGTTTAAGTAAAACTTCAAAGTTACTGTGATATACAGAGTGTTAAATTATTTCATGAAGTAAACATCAAATCAAAAATCTAAAAAATACATTTATGAAATATTTTTAAATCGTGCATTCAATGATACCAACCTAAACTTCTTTCTCTCCTCTTCATCAGAGAACACATTTATTTGGAATAATTTGTGGGAAAGGGTTCAGTTTGGTGTATTTATGGAAATGTTTTTCTAATATCAAATGAGTTTATTTTTGTTATGGTGATCTGACATTTATTTCTCCAATCAAAAATTTTTCGGTATTTTTCTAGTATGCAATTTACTTTACTATAGTTACTTTATGGATCAATAAGGTAGAAAATTTTTGTTGCAATATTTTTTAAAAGTAAAATGTATACTAAGTGAAATAATTACTTTAAAATGAAATGCATACATTACATAAATAATTATTATTTTATCAATGATTTAAACTTATATTTTCCGATTGTCATGCAACATAGCCAGGAATTAGAAAATGTCGGAAGATAGATAAAATTGTAGAAGAAAAAATGTCTAAAAACAGCAATTTAAGTGGCGCCACCAATTTTAATGGTAAAATAATCACACAGTTAATTTTTTTTTACACATAATTATATCAGTTTCAATCATTTTTATAGACTCTAAATCTTATTAAGTGATCCATATTTTCATGATGCCAACAAAAGTGTCATTTCCATATCAAGAAAATGACACTGACTAAAATTAAAATCATTTTTAAAAAAATCATGTACTTTCGATAACAATTTCGAAATCACTGGAGGTAACCTCTTAGAGCGACCAACCTCCATCAGCGACCATTTTACTGTGCGACGGAAAGTGGTCGCTCCCGAGAGGTTTCACTGAACTTATGTTGAAGGATTACCGCCAAAGGTTGGTGAATTGCTACCAATGGTACAGCATTAAAAAACATTAACGTCTTAAAGACATTTTATGTTCTACTCATTCCAATTGTGTGATTTGTAAAAGTTACATTTTTATTTCAGGTAATATATTGCTCAACATCATTCTGACTGCTTCCCTACCAATGTCCAGGACTGGTAAAAACAATGTGTTACTGGTTTGCATACCTAATCCACCAGTGGATGCCAAAAAGACAGATTCCCAGGAGGCTATTCCCATGCTGATAAGAGTTAAGACAGCCGAAGATGCTGATGAGCTGTTGGAAGCTCTTAACAAACACAAGTCTTGAGATGGACTGATGATTTTAATTGTAACTAGTTTCTTCATTCCTCTAAAGTTGATACATCATAATGTGTTTTCTTTTTATGTATGTGTAAAGACTGTCATTGTTAAATAAATTTTTTGATTATATTTCTTTTGTATTGAATTGTGTGTTTCTGTTTGCATTTTGTCCTAATTTCTTTTTTCAATTTTTTTTCATTAGCAGCCATTCCTATTGCTTTTAGGTTATGCAACCCTGATTGATCTACTTCATTTTCGCGGGATCCCGACTTTCATTAGCAATTGTTGACTTCTTAATAAACTGCAAAAAATTATGAATTATTTGAAAATAGTTAATGTGCAGAGTGAGTTTTTTGACATTACGTCAATAACAAACTTAAAATCTTGTTTTATGTCAGACTGTCGATTCATAGGTCTGTTGCAGCATCTAGTCTAGTACAGAATTTAATTTTGTTGTTCGTATGGATAAGCTACTTCATTTTTACTTAGCATTTTGCTTAAATAATTCAGGGTGGCCTCCCACCTGGAGAACCTTGAAAACCTGGAATTATCAGGGAATTTTTTTATATCGGAAAAAACCTGGAGAAATTAGGGAATTTTTAAAGAATAGCTGCAATTTTTTTTTGAATTAAATTATTTTACCATCCTCTATGCCCACTTTATTTAGACAGAAATTTATTGTAAAGCAGTTGAAATATCAATATATTAGCTAAGTATTGCTAAATACTTTGCTTGCATTAAAATTCTCTCAAATATTATCTTGCTAAAATAGAATGCCATTATGAAACTCTTCCATGGTTGCTAAATGAATGGAGAAACCCGTGACCTATTTGAAGATTATGGGTCTAAGCAGTTTTTTTCTTTATTCTATATAAAAATAATGAAACTTTTTGGCAAGTTTTCCCATATTTTTTTAATAATTTAGTGACTTTTTATATTTTTTATATTCGGGTATTATTGGTTAAAGATTATGACCATCAGAACCCGTTGCCCTTTCATGAAACCCTTGCGTTCTGTGGAATATCTTTTAGGAACCAATGATGTAGAAAATATTTGATACTTTGACTTATAGTTCTTACTAGTTTATAATGCTATCTAATCCTGAAATTGTATTTTTATTAACGCTTTATGTACTAGTCTTTGTTTTTTCTGAACTTAAATAGCTTAGTACTTAAACCATTTTATATATTAAAAAAATTTCTAGTAGCTGGGAAATGTTCGTTCAGTTTTGCTCAGAGTCAACAATTTTGAAAGATTTGCTTTTTTAGTCTTTTAAACAAATTCTTTAAAATTGTTTTTTTTTTTTACAGTAAGCCTATTTTCTTAGAAATTTCGTACGAGGTAATTTATTTTCGCCAAACAAGCTTAGTACATTTAAAAGAACAACTTACTTACAAACAAAAAAAATTTCTGTGGACCAGATTATTTTTGGAAATCCATAAGAATGGGAAACTCTTACTCTGTTAAAAAAGGTAGAGATGCAATTATTCCATCTTTTTAAATAATTATTATCCAATTAATACTGTTTTTTTTTCAATGTTAGTTATTCTGACCTTTTTCAAAAATGGCCAATTTTTTTAGCAGCCCTGAGTGTAGAAAATTGTTTTGATAAGATGGGGTGATTTTGAATGGAAAAATATATCCTGATGTTGCCTTCTTTCTAAGAATTTTTTCCACACATTCTTATAGCAAAATCACTAATGCCTCTAACATTTCTTTGAACTTAGCTGTTTCATTATGAAGTTGTGTTCAAGTGTGCAATATAACACTTTTTGCCTTATTAGAATATTCTTCATCATCATAGTTGGCCAGACAGCTCAATGTGGGCCAATGCCTTCCTCTGAAGATTACTCCATAATGACTTCCAATTTATCTTTGATCTCCAATTCTTTTCAGTAATTGCAAGAAAATCAGACTCCACCGAGTCAGCCAATCTCAACTGCGGTCTTCCCCGCTTTCTTCTTCCAGTGTGTTTAAAAAGCAGCATCTTTTTTATTGTATTGTCATCACTCATTCGAATCACATGGGCCATCCAATTCATTCTATTTATTTTTATGTATTTAATAATATCAGGTTGTTTATAAATCTTTTACAGTTCAAAGTTAGATCTCCTTCTCTAGTTATTGTTTTCATTTACACCACCACGTATACTACGCAAAATCTTTCTCAAATATTGTGATACAATTTTCCTCCAGTTTTGTCTTTGTCCAAGCTTCGGAAGCGTATGTCAAGATTGGCTTGACAAGAGTTTGTAGATTAGGAATTTTGTTTTTCTTGAAAGAAACCTAGATTTGATAAATCTTCCCAGCCCATAGACAGCCCTTTTTGCCAGATAGAGTCGGTTTTTTATTTCAAGACATTTTTAAAAGTATACTTACACTTTTATAAATATTTTTATGATTTCTAAATCTTATAATTCACGTAATATGCCCTTGTATATATGCATCTCCAAATTTTATGTTACTCAACTTTGTCATAAGAATTCTTACAACCTGTACAAATATTAACACAAAATTGAATGAATCAGAAATGTGTATTATTTCAAACTTATTTTTCTTCTGTTGGAATTGGATTAAATAAAGGTAGTAATTCTATTTGGGAACTGGTCTCTTCAGTTAGTTTATTGTGAGAAAGAATTATTACTTGTGATTTGATTTTCCATAGTAAAATTTTCGATAAAAAGTTTTCTATAATATTGTTCAAATATTGGTTTTTACTTGGGTTATAAAATAAATACAAAATAATAATCCAAACCTATGTAAATATAAGTTTAATCTTTGGTTAGAATAAGGTTGAATGACAGTACTAAATTCTATTAAGACATTTCTACATCTGATGCATTCTCACTTAAGGAAGAATTGAATTCAATTATTAGTTATGATTTACAATAATTCTTTTATTTATAATTTTAAAATCAAAGTATAGATCAAAGAATGAGAATCTTTTGACATTAAAGAAAAAAAAATAGAATATACAGGAATTAACAAAAAACAAGAAATGTGCAGTACTTTAAAATTTTCAATTTAACAGGAGTTGGTAATTCTATTTCTTTGAACACGTCCTTTGTTGCATTCTTACATTAATTTGTTTCATCTGCATTAAAAGTAGTATCATTAGAATCTGTTTCTGGTGAAGTCGATGAATCATTAGAAACCCTTTCTTCTGCTTGAAGGAGAGCTTCTTCTTCAGAGCTTGTTTCTGAATCGTATCTTTCATGATTTCGTTTTTGCTGTGCCTTTGTTTGCAACCTATACAATCTACATTTAACGCATGTTAAAATCAGCCATATCAAAGATCCTATTGTCATTCCTATAGTGAATATTCCAAAATTGGATGTAGGATCTGTGAATGGGAAAAATAAGTTTTTTTAAGCATTGAAATTTTGTTTATTATTTTGTAGTATTCTTTCTAAGTTATTTTACTGACTAATACATAGATTCTATAAGTTATCAAGGCGAGTTTAACAAATTAAGTTGACTAGAAAACAATTACTTTGAAGCCAAGTAAATTTATAAGTGAAAGTCTGCTTTCTTATTAATATTCCTTATTATATTCTGTTAATTTATTTCTGTTTAATTAAATTATATTAAAAGTTACCTTTTTTTTTTTTTTGCTGCAACCTGTTCATTTCTCTTATCAATGGGTTTTATTGCAACATTTTCAAATGTGAGCAGAAACTTACAAATGTGGCAAAAAAAAAGAGACAAAATACATTTTTAACTACATGAAATTTCAAAAAACCATGCAATTTTAACGAATAAACAGTAGTCATTTTAGGGAATTAAGGTAATTTTAAAGAATAAATTGTAGTTATTATAGTTAAGCTTATACATAAGCAAATAAGTATGTTGTATCTGAAAGAATTATGAAAAGGGTTGCTTTCATATTTTCATAATTCTTTGACCATATATAAAATGGTGATATTGAGATGTTTTTTTATTTCAAGTTTATCTTTGCATGAGAATCTGAAAATTCACTTTAATATCAAGTATGTAGATAAATGTTACTTACCAAAGGCAACATGGGTGGATTTAACTGGAAAAAAAAATTTTCAGTTAGAAAATAAGCTGCGTTTTTCATGTGAACATTAACACGAAAATAGTGCTTTAATTTTTCGATTAGGGTGACAAAAGTTGAAATTGTTTCTATTTTATCAAACTGAAAAATCTGGTTTTTAAGAACTTTATTTTATTACTAGTATTGAAGTTTTATTTTTGTTTATCTGGTAACTTGAATCTTTTTAAATCAGAAAATAGTTCAAATTTTAATTGCAATATTATTGCGACCAGGGAGAGATTCAAACGGTGTTGTCATTCAGCACAGAAGTCCATTTGTATTTGTGCTCTCTAGCTAGTCGGAAAGTGTAAAAAATTTCGCTTAGCGAGAAAATCTCCTTGCAGTAGACAGAAAGTCATTCATTGTATTGAAAATCCTTAGTTAAAATTTCTGTATTCTAACTAGTTGAAATGTAGTTGAGATTTTGATTGCAAGATCTGCCATTCACAAGCAAAGTAAAATGTAAAAGTAAAAATTTCCTCATAAAACAATATACCAATACAGATACTAATGTTATTACGAATAATGTTGTCCTGAAGTGGACTGATCATTACGACTCGGTTCCCAGTAGAACATCGAAGTCAAGCATCACTGGCTGCGGTCAGTAAGTGAGCGGGTGACCAATTTGATCAGCCTGAGCAAGGACCGAAGGTGCGCGGTATCGGTCCACGTTAAACTGTTCTACCTTGAAATGTTTGACTTCGAGCGCAGGTCATTGGACTACAAATGCAAAGGATCAAACTTGCGATGGCATGTCTTCAGATCATCCTCAGGGATGTTTTCCAGACCGTCGCCAATAGCCTATTGTGTACCTCTAGTGCGACGTAAATAAAAGTACCTACCTGGCTACTTAATGACCCTAGTGAGTTTTTCCTCTCTTGTTTTTGGGTCAAGTTTAGTTTATATCGCTGCTTATATTATTTAAAGTTATATTTAATGCCCTTAACTTGTGTATGCAATGTGTAGTTCCATTGCATTGTCATTTACATCTCATACAGCTAATTCCAGTTCTACCGTCTATGATTCGTCTCTCATAATAATGAAATTAATTTGGCTATTTCAACTTCTTGACT